TCCGTGCTTGTGAAAGATCCACTGATACTAGTGAACGTTTTACTGCAGTAAATGAAAATGCACCTAATTGGAACAGAGTCATGAGAAATAGTTTATCTAATTCTGAATTTGATTTAGAAGTTCATGGAAGTGCTGTGTCTTCACCTAATACACATTCACAAGTTGGTCCGGCCGCTCTATGATCACTTCAGACCAAATAAATGAAAATATGATTTGAAAGTTATGTCTGTGATGCCAACCACGCTTATATATGTCAGTTTTATTGATATAATTCTCAAATGAATATACAGTTAAAATATCATTAAAGAAAATATATATGTAAAGTACGATTTATATTGCTATTAATAGCAACAAGAAAGTAAGAAAGACAATGCTACTTATATATATATACCATATAATAGTCATATTTTTAAATTATTTAAAAAGGAGGAAGTATTCCCGTTAGAGCTACTTTTACTTCTAAATCTATATCGAAAAATAAGCGTACACATGGTTCTTATTACAGTATATTGTTCTTTACGAATAAAGTGAAGGACTTCTAATAATTTAACACATGTTTAAAAAGATCTGGCTATATTATATCATGTTTTGTATTTCTCATCCTTTATGTCAAATTACTTTTAAGAACGGAAAATACTTTATCACAATGCAATTAATTTATTTAATTATTATAGTATCCTTCATAAACAATATTCATTATTGTATTGTATCACAGTTTTATAAATATAACGCATAAGTCTTCCTCTTTACAAAGTTCCTGTATGCGAATTAATTACGAAATCCTACTGTGCAATTTTTACACGATGTGTTACATTTTTTAATGTTTACGATTAAAAATATATATTTTGATACATTTAGGTGCCATATCTGATGGGTATAGATGACATTATTTTTATGGAATTAATGATATATAGATATTTCTCTATACAGATGTTATAATAATTGTTATATTATATAATCGTACTTGTGGAAATAAATGTTTGTAAAGCTATATAAAATATTGACTTTTATTAAAATAATTATAAAATATTTTACGGAATGAAAATTTTGAATTTTACATATTTTCGATGATAGAGTGCATTGCTATACTATTAAGACTACTCTATTACAGAGGGCGATATCATAGAACCGGCGTTGAGAATGCCACACTGCTTCTTCTCAATCATTCCGAATATTTGATTTAAAATTTTGCACCTTCTTTTGTCAAGTATTAAAACGGCCTGACAAAATTAAGTATAATATTTTAATGTGATTTTCTATTCAAACAATTTCAGAAAAAATGGGAACTGTTCATGCAAAGGTAAACGCTTATTATTAGAAAATTACGATATAACCTAAAATTAAAGTTATTAATTTACACCATGAGTAATTT